GATTTTTTTTAAATAAAAGATCAAAATGATTAACAATGCAGATTTATTTTCACAGCCGTCTTTGATCATATTTACCAAGGGTGCCAATAATTCTGACCACGACTGTATGTATATATATATAAAATGTATATATTTATGTATTTTTTAATTGTAAAACCATGGTTACATTTTGTAAGAGAAGTTGTAAAAGTAGACAGCTTACACAACATTTCACAGTTACAGTAATCATGTGTTTCGTCAGCTTGTTTAGGCTAATAATATATTTTTTAAAAAGCTAAGGAATCATATGATCAGGATGTTAAAATAAACAAAAAAAAATTACCTTTTCTCAGCAGACATTGATAAGCATGTCCCATGTTTGTCACTTGTCAAGTCAAGTCAAGTCACCTTTATTTATATGGCGCTTTTAACAATACAGATTGTGTCATTAATTAGGAAAATAATGCAAAGTGACAATAGTAAACACTCAATTTTTAGTTAAAGGCAGTTCATCACCTGTTTTTTCAAAATTTAGCAGTAAGAAATTACTCGTCATCCAGTTTTTTATATCGACTATGCATTCAAATATTTTTTCAACTATTAACGTTAGCGTTAATAGCATTAGCGTTAGTTTTTCAAATTGGTATGTTTCACCGGGCCGCAAAGAAATATAGAGCTGAGTATCATCAGCATAACAGTGAAAGCTAACACCATGTTTCCTGATGATATCTCCCAAGGGTAACATGTAAAGCGTGAAGAGTAATGGTCCTAGTACTGAGCCTTGAGGTACTCCATACTGCACTTGTGATCGATATGATACCTCTTCATTCACTGCTACGAATTGATGGCGGTCAGATAAGTACAATTTGAACCATGCTAATGCACTTCCATTAATGCCAACAAAGTTTTCTAGTCTATGCAAAAGAATGTTGTGGTCAATAGTGTCAAACGCAGCGCTAAGATCCAAAAGCACTAATAGAGAGATACAACCACAATCAGATGATAAGAGCAGGTCATTTCTAACTCTAATGAGAGCAGTCTCAGTACTATGATACGGTCTAAATCCTGACTGGAAATCCTCACAGATACCATTTTTCTCTAAGAAGGAATATAATTGTGAGGATACTACCTTTTCTAGTATCTTGGACAGAAAAGGGAGATTCGAGATCGGTCTGTAATTAAATAGTTCTTTGGGGTCAAGTTGTGGTTTTTTGATGAGAGGCTTAATAACAGCCAGTTTGAAGGTTTTTGGGACATATCCTAATGACAATGATGAATTAATAATAGTCAGAAGAGGATCTATGACTTCTGGAAGCACCTCTTTTAGGAGCTTAGATGGAATAGGGTCTAACATACATGTTGTTGGTTTAGATGATTTAACAAGTTTATACAATTCTTCCTCTCCTATAGTAGAGAATGAGTGGAATTGTTCCTCAGGCGATCTATAGCAAGCTATCTGATGCGATACTATAGCTGACGGCTGCATGGTTACAATTTTATCTCTAATAGTATCGATCTTAGAAGTAAAGTAGTTCATAAAGTCATTACTGCTGTGCTGTTGGGAAATGTCAACACCTGTTGATGCTTTATTTTTCGTTAGTTTAGCCACTGTATTGAATAAATACTTGGGGTTATGTTTGTTTTCTTCTAAAAGAGAAGAAAAGTAATCAGATCTAGCAGTTTTTAATGCTTTTCTGTAGGATAGGTTTTCTTTCCCGCCAAGCAATACGAAATACCTCTAGTTTTGTTTTCCTCCAGCTGCGCTCCATTTTCCGGGCTGCTCTCTTTAGGGTGCGAGTGTGCTCATTATACCACGGTGTCAGACTGTTTTCCTTAATCTTCCTTAAGCGTAAAGGAGCAACTGTATTTAAAATGCTAGAAAAGAGAGAGTCCATAGTTTCTGTTACATCATCAAGTTGTTCTGAGGTTTTGGAAATGCTAAGGAATTGGGATAAATCAGGAAGATTACTTACAAAGCAGTCTTTTGTGGTAGAAGTGATGGTTCTACCATACTTGTAACAAGGATTAGAATTTACAGTTTTAGCTATATGAAGTTTGCACAAGACTAAATAATGATCTGAGATATCATCGCTTGGCTGCATAATTTCAACACCATCAACATCAATTCCATGTGACAGTATTAAATCTAGAGTATGATTTCGACAATGAGTAGGTCCTGAGACATGTTGTCTAACCCCAATAGAGTTCAGAATGTCTATGAATGCTGATCCCAATGCATCTTTTTCATTATCAACATGGATATTAAAATCACCAACAATTAAAACTTTATCTGCAGCCAGCACTAACTCGGATATAAAATCAGCACATTCTTTAATAAAGTCTGTATGATGCCCTGGTGGCCTGTATACAGTAGCCAGTACAAACGACACAGGGGATTTATCATTAACACTTGTTTCTCTGGATAATGTTATATGAAGCACCATTGAATGGGAATATACTTCACAGATATTTTACTCATAAGAATTTCTAGGGGTGCCAATAATTGTGTCCAACGTGTATTTGAGAAAAACATTTATGTCATAATATTTCCCCCCATTTTAAATTCTTATTATCCAATGAAAGGTTAGATATTTGTGAATTTTTTTAAATAAAAGATCAAAATGATTAACAATGCAGATTTATTTTCACAGCCGTCTTTGATCATATTTACCAAGGGTGCCAATAATTCTGACCACGACTGTATGTATATATATATATATAAAATGTATATATTTATGTATTTTTTAATTGTAAAACCATGGTTACATTTTGTAAGAGAAGTTGTAAAAGTAGACAGCTTACACAACATTTCACAGTTACAGTAATCATGTGTTTCGTCAGCTTGTTTAGGCTAATAATATATTTTTTAAAAAGCTAAGGAATCATATGATCAGGATGTTAAAATAAACAAAAAAAAATTACCTTTTCTCAGCAGACATTGATAAGCATGTCCCATGTTTGTCACTTGTCAAGTCAAGTCAAGTCACCTTTATTTATATGGCGCTTTTAACAATACAGATTGTGTCATTAATTAGGAAAATAATGCAAAGTGACAATAGTAAACACTCAATTTTTAGTTAAAGGCAGTTCATCACCTGTTTTTTCAAAATTTAGCAGTAAGAAATTACTCGTCATCCAGTTTTTTATATCGACTATGCATTCAAATATTTTTTCAACTATTAACGTTAGCGTTAATAGCATTAGCGTTAGTTTTTCAAATTGGTATGTTTCACCGGGCCGCAAAGAAATATAGAGCTGAGTATCATCAGCATAACAGTGAAAGCTAACACCGTGTTTCCTGATAATATCTCCCAAGGGTAACATGTAAAGCGTGAAGAGTAATGGTCCTAGTACTGAGCCTTGAGGTACTCCATACTGCACTTGTGATCGATATGATACCTCTTCATTCACTGCTACGAATTGATGGCGGTCAGATAAGTACGATTTGAACCATGCTAATGCACTTCCACTAATGCCAACAAAGTTTTCTAGTCTATGCAAAAGAATGTTGTGGTCAGTAACATTAAGGGAACTGTTTGTTGCAGTTCCCTTAAACTTTTCCGATGTGGTCTGTGAGTATTTGCAGTGCGTTTCTGTATTTGGTCATGTTGTGCTGTCAAACTGATGAAGATGTTTTCTTAATTTGGATGGGTTTTATTCTATTTGCATGTTTTTTCATTTGCAGCGCGTTGAGCTGTCTCAGCCACAGTATAAAAAAGTTAAGAAACTAAATCTACATTTATTTCTACAATCTACAAGCTTCAGATTTTTTAAAGGGGTGGTTGATTGTGATTGAACTTTTTTAACGGTAGTTAGTGTGTAAAGTTGCTGTTTGAACATAAACAATATCTGCAAAGTTACGTCCCTGAGGGAGGGGCTTCATAATAACAGGAAATCATGAGAGCGTTTATCAGAGAAGGGACAGAGCGGTGTAGAATAAAGGTAAATTATGTGAAAAATAATGCGTTTTTAAAAAAAACGAAGCATCAACACATGTTAGACTGCACCCCATGAACACAATCAACCATCCCTTTAATATTGTGTTTAAATTTATATTTAAGAAAATACTTCATTTTGCTCATTACTGCAAAAATTCTATGAATTTTTAATACTTCATATAATCTGAATACGAGACGTTCTCTACACTCCTGAACTGCGCAGGTGACCCTAACAGAGCTGTTTTCCTCTCGCAGATGATGATCGCTCAAACCTCTCGTCCGGTCGGTGGCCCGCCGGCGCGTCCCACGCGGGTCTGGAGCAGCATCGAGAGCACCGATTGGTGGGAGCGTGTGGTCATGAGGGAGTTCCAGCCCTCCGATTGGCTGGAGAAGTTCCGCATGACTAAAGAGACGTTCTTCCTGCTGTGCGGAAAGCTGAAGCCGCGGCTGAGCCGTCAGGACACCCGTCTACGTCCGGCGCTGCCGCTGGAGAAGCGTGTAGCCGTGGCTCTGTGGCGTCTGGCCTCTAATGTGGAGTACCGCACCATCAGTGCTCTGTTCGGCGTGGGCCGCTCCACCGTCTGCAAGTGTGTGCGAGACGTGTGTCACGCCATCGTGCTGCTGCTGCGGCCACTGTACCTGCGCTCCCCGAGCGAGCAGGAGCTGGAGGATGCTGCACGACTCTTCGCCTCGCGCTGGGGCTTCCCTCACTGCGTGGGAGCGGTCGGCAGCCTCCACGTGCCCATCATCGCTCCGTCCAGCAACACGCACAGCTACTGGAACAGCCGCGGCTGGCTGTCGGTGGTCACTCAGGGCGCTGTGAACGGGCTGGGGCAGTTCTGGGACGTGTGCGCCGGCTTCCCGGGCAGCACCGAGCACTCGGCCATCCTGCAGAACTCCACGCTGTGGGCGCGCGGCTGCGACGGGTTCCTGCTGCACGAGCCGCCGCTGGACTTCATGGGCCGGCCGCTGGGATACCTGATGCTGGGAGACGCCGGATACCCGCTGAAGAGCTGGCTGCTGAAGAGCTTCCCGGAGTCCGGCGCGCTCTCGGACGCTCAGAGAGCATTTAACCGTAAGCTGGAGCGGGCGCGCGGCGTGGTGGACGAGGCCTTCCTGCGGCTCCGAGCGCGCTGGCAGTGTCTGCTGAAGAGGAACGACTGCCGCATGGACGTGATTCCCACCATGATCCTGGCCTGCTGCGTGCTGCACAACGTGTGCGAGGTGCACGGAGACGAGTTCATCGAGCGCTGGGAGGAGGCGGTGCGTCACGAGGAGAGTCCGCAGCCCGCAGACGAGGTGTCACCCGCCTCTGACGACCACGACGGAGAGGAAGTCCGAGCGCTGTTCTGCCAGTACTTCCTGCAGCAGGAGAACCAGCAGCGGACACTGGCCTGCTGAGACGGAGACATCGAGCGTCACGCGTGTCTGTGAACAGCCTGCCGTCCTTGAGCGCTGCAATGCTCTGGCTCTTCTCCTCCTCTGTTTTGTGCTGTGTGTTTTCCAGAACTTGATCTCATCTGTTCACTTCAGTCACATCTGAATGCAGAACATCACAGCGAGAGTAATGAACTGTACAGAAAGACACACGGCTCTGAGCTGCTGTCAGTAGTGTGTTTGTGGGTTAGTTAGTGCAGTGATTCCTGGAGCCCATCTCTGCACGTCTCTTTAATCAAACACACCTGATTCAGATCATCAGCTCATTAGCAGACAGTAGGCTTGTTCGAGAGGCATCGGCGTGTGACAACAAAGCACCGCGAGAGCAGGCGGCTCTTTATGCTTTTGAATCGCTGTGGCGGTGCTTCCGATGCGTCTCGAACAAGCCTACTCCAAGACCTGAAATGAATCGTGCAGAGCTGGGCTCCAGGAACGGTTGGGAACCGGTGAGTTAGTGGATGGTGTTGTTCGTTAATGTGATTCTCTACACCTGTGTGAAACTGAGCAGAACTTATTCATACATCAGCAGCTGAATCAAACACACTGAGACTCAAACATCATGAAGAAAAGAGACTTTAGTAAAGAGGAAAGATGCTGAAGATATAGATAAGTGTGAAAGAAATGTTCTTCTTCATAAAGACTGTGAACGTCACATCTTTGTACTGTGCTTTCTAATGCTGTATGGATGTGTTTTAATAATCATTCACTGGCGTTCTTTTAAATCATTAAACATAAACAGTAATGTTGCCTCTCATTATGATCGTATTCTGCCTGATGTTTGTATTGATGTTTGTTGGTGTCATGTTTTTGCCCATACAATAAAAGTCAATGGGGTCCGTAGTCGTTTCCATTGTCCTTCAAAATATCTTCTTTCGCCTTCCAAACATGACACGGGTTTGAGCGGAGCGTAAACGACGACAGGATGGTCATTTCTGGGTGAACCATCCCTTTAACAGTGCTCATCATAACATGCCATCTGTCTCAGGGTTTAGATTAAGAATAAGCAGTGAAATCTGGCACAAGATTAGGCTGAGGATTATATCTCCTGTTGTCTTGAGATAATATCAGGGAAGACGGGTGTATTCAGGTCAAGGGTCATTTGAAGTTCTCGAAGATATACTGTAGGACCTGTAGATGAGCGTCCGGTCACAGTGATCATATGTTCTGCTGGGATCATATGTGGTGAGGCTGAGTGTTGAAACTCTCTGTCTGCGGTCACTCCTTACAGCCAGATTATCTGCGTCTCGGGAGAGACTGACGCTCGCCACACGCTCCTGTTCAGCCAAAGCTCATCCACCGCCAGCATGCTGCATCCGCTCATGATCTTCATGGTCATCGTCAACACGTCCATGAGCATCATCTTCTGGACCTTCTTGATGTCGGAGGTCTTCTTCAAAGAGGCCGAGACGGAGGAGGCCAGAGCTGCGGCGGCCGTGTCTCCGGCGTAGAGTCGTCAGCATGCAGATCTCACGCAGCTTCATAGAGAGTCTCCTCTGCGTCAGACGCCTGCAGCTACAGACCGCTTCCCTGCAGTTTTCAGTTTTCTGTCAGCCTTTCTTTTTTTCTTTTGTCCTGTTTGTTCTGTAACAGACGCGCCGTTTGGGAATTGTGGAGCGCTTGTTCATTTACAGGTAAGAGGAAAACAGCCTCACGGTTCAATGTATTACAACTTTCCCTCACTTATATAATCACTACTATATGCATAGATTATTTATTTTATTTTTTTAACTCTTTAGATAGGATATTTCTTGAAGAAACAACTTGTCCAGTAGGAAGTGGTGCCTTTTTTCAGTCATTTCACTACAGTTCATCAACTTTCAGATTAACAATCAATAAATATGGCTTCTTAATGGGCTTTTCTCAAACTCTTATATTTCGTTATTAAACCTTCAGCACTACATTGTAATTGCAGGAAAGTATTTTTAACCCTTCTCTTTGAAACCCTTGTGCAGCGGTTATATTCAGAATATTTGAGAGGTTGAGGACACATTGTTACAGTCAGTACTGTATTTTCTCAAATACACTTAAGCAGTTTTATGTGATGAATGGAGACATGCTAATTGTCTGATGATCTAATGAAAACATTAATGCATTTCTTTGCATCACACACTAAAAAGAGTTAAATAATGTTTGTCACAGAGACACAAATGGCGCCATTTCCTAAGAAAGAGTTGCTGGTCGTGTCGCTTTATTTCACCTGAGAGAAGAAATGAAATAACAGGTGAAGCATGAAAAGCATCCCAGGTGTGGTTCTGCTCGGAGACGGTCCAGCGCTGCAGGAGTTGTGTGTCCCGCATCTAACACCTGATTCAGCTCATCAGAAGAGACTGAGCTGCTGGGGGTCCGGGGGGGCTTGTAAGCAGTGCAGATGGGATCTGAGCTGAAGGCTTATTAGATAAACAGTTGGATTAGTTTTGGAGATGCATATGACAGCGTTTTCAAGTGTGATCAGGGGATTATAGCAGGACAGCATCTCGCGCAGACACTCCACAGAACACCAGCATGTTGCACTGGCTCATGGTTTTGATCGTCGTGTTCAACATCAGCATCACAGTCGTGGAGTGGACCTTTCTCTTATATGAGCTGATGAGGTTAAATTCAGAGGATCCAGATGAAGTGTGTCCGGAGTAGACAGAGCGGCACGGCTCGGTAGCATGAGGACTTAGTCTCACATCATGTGCACAAAGAAATTAAGTGTCAAGGTAAGAACTGTGTTTGAGTTGCAGGTTTCTCTCGGTGCTACATTACTGTAGCGTCTGTGGTGTGAAGTGTGACACGCTTCTACCTGCCCATTATTCTCTCCTTTGCTGGATTAGACGGGAATCTCTGGACGTGGTTCTCCTAATCTGGGGAATGTTCGGTGTGCTGGAACACACGCTGGTGGATTCAGGATTTGATTAAAACAGGCTTAATCTCCTCGTTCTCTGCGGCTCAATCGTTCCCCTGTAATCCAGGCAGATATTGTTTGTGATTAGAAAACTTTAAAACCTTTCTTTATTTCTTTATGTGGTGAGCTGTAATTAAGCGTGCTGCCCTATATGTCTCTCTCTCTCTCGTTCTCATTTTCTGAACAGCAGATTTGTTGGTTAGCAGGAGTGTTGAATGTTGAAAGTTCAGATCGGCTCCGGGACGGACGCTGTCAGTCAGCATGGACTCTCTCCTCTCCTCCTCGTCTGGTTCTGCAGAGGAGAGGCTCTCGTGGGCCGCGGGTTCTCAGCGTTTGCTGCAGTCTCACGGGTCAGACGCGTCTCCGTACGTGGAGTACAGGCCTCCGGCGCGAGACTCCATCTCTGTGCCGCCGCATGTGCTGTACATCACTGTGGGACTGCTGCTGCTGGTTCTGGTCACGTATGCGATTGTGGGTCACCTGATCGTCGACCTGCTTCATGGCCTGGCAGGTATCGTCAGCGGTGGCGTGTTGTTCTTCCCGCATCCCTGCCGTTGTGTCGTGTTTCTGCTGTTTTCTCCTGTAAGCCTTTGTTTTGTTGGACGTCTGTTGCGATGCTTTGTGTTTCATTTGGGTTCAGACTCAGATGTGCGTCACCTTTCTGACTCTTAATCTGTGCTCAAAATGGACAACAGAAACAGCAGCTCTGTGATTTGCACATTTTGTCCAAATGCATTTAAAAATAAATCATAGTCCTGTCGTGATGAAGCTCTTTCACGTCACAGATATTGAGACGTAGTCCACGTTTCCATGCTCTCAGTTCTTCTGATGGTCTGTATCTTCCTGTTTGTGTGTTTTGTGACGTGTGACGTGGTGTAGGATGACTGATGGATGGTTGTGTCTTACAATATAAGCAGTGTGTGTTCTGGCACGTTTTCATGTCTGTGATGTTGAACGGTTTTCATCGTCTCTCCTCAGACTGAGTCTTCGGCCCTAAAACTGGAGCTGGTGATTCTGAGCGCGGCCGTGAAGAGGAGAGGGTTCTGATGGAGGAAGAGCGAGCCGGTCTGCTGCCGGGGTTCATCAGAACCGAGCCCCATCATCACACGACCCGGCCTTCATTACATCACATCACTATGAGTCTGCAGACAGTGCAGTCTGTGCCAGCTCTCATTACTCTGGCTTTAATGTTTTCACTTCGTCTTTAGCATGTTTTTATCAGAGCAGATGCTCTTTTAGCTGCTGTAGACAAGCAAAGCGTAGATAACAGTCTTTCAGCAAGAAAAGAGGGCGCGGTCATGTGACCGTTGTGATGTCATCAACGTAATTGCTGTGTTCTGTGATGCCATTAAAATTAACTCTGGGATAGTTCCTGTTTTGGCTCTGTATATATAAATGATGCAAAATAGAATTAAAGCCTCTCCTCACAGCTTGTTGTGTCTGATTCATCTTCATGAGCTAGGAGATTATTCTAAAGCCTGTCTGGGTCAATCGGGACAGAAACGTGAGATGTTACACCGCAGCAGAATCTCATGAAGCCCGTCGAGAGCTCAAAATCAGAAGAAAGAAATGCATCATGCTAAACTAATGTTGACCTAGTTTCATTATTAACTATTTTTATTGTGTACTGGTTTAATTGAGCTGCTGTTAAGAGATTTACAGCCTTTTATTAGGTTTTACAATGCTAGAACATCACTCATGATTTTTTATCTTTTATTATTCATGAGGTTTTATCTTTTATTAATAAAGTCAAATACTGTGTACCTGTTCTCTCACTCAGTTCATGATGAACCATAACCAGTCTATAAGCCGTCTCAAAGCTGGATAATATGTGCTGATAAAGCCTGTGTCCTTCGCAGCGTGCATCAGCGCCTCCTCTTTATTCTTCATTCACTGCTGGAGTCTCAGAGGAAGGAAACTTTATGATTTCTCCGGACGGATAACAGCTGACCTTCATCACAGCCTGTGAACAAACTCTCATCTGGACGCATGCATTGAGCTACAGATCCACACTTTCACAAGCTTACGACATGTTTATAGTGTGCTTGTGTGTTTAAGGTGTTTATTTGCAAAGAATTACATTTACAGGTCCTGATAAATGTCTATAATTGACATGATAAAAGTTCATTATAAAGTGAGCTCACTGAAATACTGTGTGTTGGGAAACTATTGAGATATTATGAGAAATCAAAGAATCTGTGCTGTGATCAGCTCATTGATCATTGAACAGCAGGGTTAGGTTATGGTCAGTTCTTGTATTGGTTTGTATTAACTGTGAGTCAATTTATTGATTGACAGCTCTCCTGTCCCCATGGTGAGAGAAATCAGAAGATGTTACTGTAGTGCTAAAATAAATATGAATATGCATTAATTCATCTCACTCACAAAAAAAAAAACACAGATTCAGTATTCCTCAAAATGAATAAAAATAATGCAA